TTTGTGAAAATTGTAATTTTATAAATAGGTCAACGTGTGTAAAACTGGAGCCCAGCGCTTAGATGGCTATTTAGCAGCAAGGGGGCCCTCATGGTTCAAGATTAATATATTTTCAAAAAATGTATCTTGTAGACGTTGAAAATGTCTAGATGATGGATTGTGCTAACAAGGCACTTATTTAATTATAATTAATGATGGAGGCAACATATAAAGAATGGGCTCAATTTTCAGCTGATTTAAAGAAATAATGTGTCCTGTATAAATCTATCATTCAACCGCAGCCCAGCAGATACAGAAGACATTGCATATATATCGTGGACTTTGTCTGCATTTTCCACTTCTTTAGTTCACAATGCTATTTTATTTATTTTTTATTTTTTTTATTTTTTTGTTTGAGACAGAGTTTCGCTCTTGTTACCCAGGCTGGAGTGCAATGGCGCGATCTTGGCTCACCGCAACCTCCGCCTCCTGGGTTCAGGCAATTCTCCTGCCTCAGCCTCCCGAGTAGCTGGGATTACAGGCACGCGCCACCATGCCCAGCTGATTTTTTAGTATTTTTAGTAGAGACGGGGTTTCACCATGTTGACCAGGATGGTCTCGATCTCTTGACCTCGTGATCCACCCGCCTCGGCCTCCCAAAGTGCTGGGATTACAGGCTTGAGCCACCGCGCCCGGCCCACAATGCTATTTTAAAAGTGAACAGATTTTAAGAGTAGCAACTGTAGAAGAGTTTTACTTGTCAATCAACCAACCCTCCTACCGCTTCTGGCGCGACTTGGTCACATGATTACAAGGTGTAAGTCACAGCAGAGAGTGTGAGGCTCAGAGAAGAAAGAATTGGGAGATGAAAGTTAAACACATAAGGGGAGAGTGGAAAGAATATTTTATGTTGGCTGTCATTTATTTGACCAAGAAAAGCACCAAGTTAAAAAAAAAATTTATTATTTGTTTTTGAGAAGTTACACAATTCTATCCAAGCCTCATACTCTAGAAAACAAAGCAGTTTCTTAGAGTAAGAGACCACCAGAGGGCTGAGCCATAGCTTAGGAACCGCGAAGGGTTTCCCAGGAATTCCAGATAATATGCAGTCATAGCAATCCGAGTATCACTAGCAGAATGTTTGTATTCTCACAAATGACCCTAAATGGTACAGGTGACTACGATGATGTTAAAATGACATAAAATGTACCCTAAGCATAAAAATGTATGTTCTTTTTAAAAATGCGGGTGAATCACGAGGTCAACAGATCGAGACCATCCTGGTCAACATGGTGAAACCCCGTTTCTACTAAAAATACAAAAAATTAGCTGGGCACAGTGGCACGTGCTTATAATCCCAGCTACTCAGGAGGCTAAGGCAGGAGAATTGCCTGAACCCAGGAGACAGAGGTTGCGGTGAGCCGAGATCGCACCATTGTACTCCAGCCTGGGTAACAACAGCGAAACTCCATCTCAAAAAAAAAAAAAAAATTCTTCTTCTTCTCCATAATATATATGTGTATATGTATTACATATATATGTATGTACATATTTATATCTTATATATATCATGTATATATGATTCAGGTTGTTCGACAGAGCATTTGGAAAGATGAGAAAATAACATAACAACGTTTATGTAAGTTTTCACTACTATCATTAGGGTTGAATAACAATCGACTATGCTTTGTTTTGCAATTCTGTTGGCACAAATAATACCAGGTTTTCCTTTTTCAATGTGTTTAGTTGACATCAAAAATATGGTACAATTTGGGCTTCCTGGTATTCAGTCCCGGCACAGGCAAGAGGGAAGACTCAGCTGAACAAAATATTTTCCCTGCATGACAGGAGGGCTTCCATTTGCCCTCAGAAGGCACGGCCTTGAGGATCTTACTTGCAAAACATCAGGACAGGCCCTTGTGGAAGGATGGGCCATTGGATGGCTGGCAGGGACGCTGAGAGGGGCCATCTCATCCTAAGCAGTTGCTCTGTCTTAGGTTTGTTCTAGAATGGGCAACAGAAACCACCCTGAACCTCCCATTCCTTTGTGACAGTTCTGTTCTCTGGAGCCAGAAAAATAAACGTGGCTCCTTTCTGCCCAACATGCACCTCGAGCCCTCTCTGTCTCTTCACATCCTCCTTCTGCTGTGTCTCGCCATCTTCCTGGCAGTTCTCTGGTTCTTCTTCTTCTAGGGTGGCGTCTAGTCCTGAACCTAACCTTCCACAGGCGGTCTGCCGAAATGTGGTCTTAAGCATGAAGTCCCCTGTTAAATGAGGCCTATGTGCTAATGGAAAACATGTAACTTCAGTGTACCATGCTGTCTTAGAGCTGAACTTCAAAGTCGGCCTTGAAATGTTTCCTATACATTCTGTGAAGCCAGGCTTACTTCTCCTGATAACCATCATACCTTTAACCATTTTACAATTAACTCCAACATTTTTGACTCCTCTCTTCTTATAAATAAGATTAAAATATGTGTACATACACATATGTACACACATATACATCTCTCTATATATATTTCTTTATACATTGTTATAAAAATATATATTACAATAAATTTAACTATATGTAATTATATATGCTTTATAATTTAAGTGTAAATGTTTATACTTAAATATATAATTAAGCATATATTATACTATATCTAAGGTTTATAATTTATACTTATGTAAAAGAATAAAGTGTGTATAATCTACACAGTTTAATTCTATAATTTAATTGTATTGTTTAATTATATAATTTATATAATCTCTATAATATAACATCATTGATTTTGTATATTTTTTAACTTTTAAAAATCAATGTCTGATACATCAAAGTGATGGCTATTTTCTGCCAAGCAGTAAGTTTCTTATATCTACCATCTTGGAGCAGCTTCAGATTTGATACTCCATTTTTTACCTTTCTTTCAATTAAATATATAAATGCCAAGTTCACTGATCAGGTCTGAGAAACAAATACTTAGAAATTTTTCTTTAGTTCAATGCTGTTCAATTATTGAGAGCTCTAGGAAAAGATCAGTTAACATTTTAGCATCAAATCTATAAATCAACCTAACTATATAATCAGTCCAATGGCATTGTAAATATTGACTTATGCTTACATTAAATCAGGGACGGGACCGATATATCCATAGATGTGGATTAGTGCAGAGAAAACGCAGATAGAATTTCCCTACCAGATCACCTGGAGTCTTCCTCATTCACACCCACCCAGTCTCAGTGTGACCCCCACCTCCCACCACCAATATGTCCATCCCACACTTAGTTGGTTCTGACTGCAGCCAGAGTGTAAGGCAGTAACAAGATAAAGGCAAATACAAGCAGGGATGGAAAAGGAGGGTAGGTCGTGCCCGGGCCCCAGGTGAGGTGAAAGGGCATTGCTTTCACTCCAAACAGATTTCAGGGCAGCTTATTTGCAACCAGAGGAGATCAAACTGAGAACCTTCTGGCATGAGGAGATGGACCGTGTTCCTGATGAGGTCTAAAATGTATTTTGGGGCCAGGTGTGGTAGCTCATGCCTGCAATCCCAGCACTTTGGGAGGCTGAGGTGGGCAGATCACCTGAGGTCAGATCAAGATCAGCCTGGCTAACACAGAGAAACCATGCCTCTACTAACAATACAACATCAGCCAGGTGTGGTGGTGGGCACTTGTAACCCAGCTACTCGGCAGGCTAAGACAGGAGAATCACTTGAGCCCAGGATGCAGAGGTTGCAGTGAGCCAAGATCACGCCACTCCACTCCAGGCTGGGCAAGAAAGCAAGACTCTGTCCTCACCTCCTAACTCCCACCAAAAAAATCCATATTTTGGTGAAACAAATTCGTCCCTGGATTCTGAAGCAGGCAAATTCTGCTTATGTCACGTGTTCCAGGGACTGTGTGGTAAATAAAAGCTGCTCGTTTAATGTGTGCTCAGCACCCTCTGTATTTCGTTCTCTGCAAATTACCCTTATTTTTCTACTGGTCATCCAAAAGGAAACAATGAAAGCATGATCGATTTTAAAATGTGTAAGATAAGAGATATTTAAACCAGTTTACTTGTGGAAAAATTATTTAAATCTCCAGCAGGAGCTATAATGAGTTCCTTTTGCATTCTGAGTTTCATGGGAGTTCCTTACAAAGTGCAAACTGTCTCTCTGACCTACTAGTTCCTGGAGCATGGAGGATGCCGTAATTTCTCTGGCTCTGAGGGCCTGGTGTCTTCTCTTGCACGTAGCAGGTGTTCAGGCAATGCTGCCTTAATGGGGCCAACATTCTCATATTCACAACGTGGGGAAAGCTTAGGCAGTTTGATTGGGAAGGTCTACTATTTGCAAGTGCACTCATATTATTTTAATTTGGAAATGCAAGCGGAATGGTTTTCAGTGCACTGTTTAATAAATTGAATAGTTTTTTTTCTGTATTAATAAGGATTACTCATTATTAAAAACATACAGTAAATGATGCAATATGATCTAGGTATAAACCTTAGAAACCGGAGGGAAAAAGAACATTTCTCTAACCAACTCCCTCCTAACGATTAGAGACTCCACGTTTTGCTGGGTTGCAAGCAATGCAGAATCTTCAAGGTTCACTTTGTGCAAATTACTGACTTCGGCATCTGCGTTGTGAAGACCCTTCAGGATTAAAAGTGATATTTCAATGCTTTTTGTGCATTTTCATGCAACCTATATGCTACAGCACTCTTAGCATGCAGATAAATACAAGAGCCAGACTGCTCAGCTTAGGTACATAATAGTCAAAACCAATAATAATGAACAGCCATGATTAAAACTTAGCAACCGCTGCAATGTAACAAGAAACTATACGTATCCTGTGTATTGTGGCACGATAGAGCTTCACTAACAAGTTGCCGCTTGTTGACTACATGATTTCCAAACAGAACTGTGAATAAAGGAATTAGGAGCCATTTTCAAGCTATTTATCCCTCTCACTCCTAGAATGTCACTATTAGAAAGGATCAGAATAAACGTTGCTCCTGTTTTTTCTTTAATAATAAGACGGAGCATTCTTACCTTGGAACTGAGCGTTGAACCCTTTGCGTCGGTGGTTGCTGTCGGAGGTGAAGTGGAGTCGTAGCCAATTCTTGCTACTAATAACTGGAGAGGGAAGGTTCATGCCGGTTAGCCTAGAGAAGAGAAAGAGGAAAAAAATCTCCCTTGTAAACCAACAGAGCAAATGTCCTATATCAAACCCACTCTACAATCCAGTTACTTAAACCCTTCATCTGGAGACGCTTAAACAGAGGCCATGTATTAATTGGCTTTGAACCTTAAAATGATCAAGATAAATCTATCTTTGCCCAAATGTAAATGCTAAATCCCTTGTGGAATGAATGTTTTCAAAAATATTTGATACTTTGATCCTCCTTTATTAATGGTGAATGCAGGAGAAGCTCTTCTTCTGATCTCTTAGTTCTTTTCATCAGGACGTTAATCACAATGAATCAGATAAAAGAAGAAATAGGCAAATGATAAAATTCTGCCTTTCCTTATTTGAAGACTTAATAATTTATTTTTTCTTTCTTTTTTTTTTTTTTGAGATGGAGTCTTGCTGTGTTCCCAAGCTGGAGTGCAGTGGTGCAATCTCGGCTCACTGCAACTTCCGCCTCCTGAGTTCAAGTGATTCTAGTGCCTCAACCTCCTGAGTAGCTGGGATTACAAGCATGCCCAACTAATTTTTGTATTTTTAGTAGAGACAGGGTTTTGCCATGTTGGCTAGCCTGGTCTCGAACTCCTGAGCTCAGGTAATCCACCCACCTCGGCCCCCACAAAGCACTAGGATTACAAGTGTGAGCCACTGTACCTGGCCACAAGACTTAGGAATTCTATTTAACCTGAAGTAGACTCCAACAAACTGTTTCTCATGCTTGGTAGCATGCTGTATTCCCAGCATCTCATCTGTAGGACTCAGAGACTGGCCTTTTCTACCCAAGTAAAGAAGAGGGCCATTTATGAGATTGATGACAAGAACTGCGCAAGAGATTTGAAATGGAATAAGATTATGTTTTAGGAAAGTAGTCCATTAATCTTTTACAAATAAGATGCAATCAATTTCTGGTTAAGCTGTTTAAAGCATCCAGTTCACTTTATAACGTGTAGTTTAGTTGTCAGAAACAATCATGTGTTTTATTTCTTACTATTGAAAACCTTGTGTGCTTACTAAGGAATACAAGCACCCTAATATATTAAAGCTCTTGCCCATTAGAGGTACAAGGCATGTGTATAGTTTTTCAGTGGCATGAGCATCACTGGATTAGGATGCTTCTGACACGGGACTGTGTGCTGGCTTGACTCTGTGTTAGGTGAGGTACCACGGGGGGGTCATGTTTATGAACCTCAGTTTCCCAGTGTATAAACTGGGCATGAAAATACCTACATCCAGGAATTGAAAGAGATAATATAGATGCACATGTGGATGTACCTCAAGCACATTCTCCACGGGCTCTACGAGGGGTTATGCACTGAAGAATTATTTGTCATCTTGGTGACCAAATCTATTTTCAAAATGATGCTTATCAGCATAGAGGATCTGTAGGGCTGTAACCAAATTGCTTTTAGCAGGAACCTGAAGAACTGTGGTGCTGTGTGTGGGCCTGCCTGTGAGCACCACAGCTGCTTGGTAAAGCTGGGGCTCTCATTTCTATGCAGAGGATTTGCTACAAAGGGTCACCTGTGTAGAGAGCATTTCCCTACTTATTCTATTACCTGGAGGAAGCAGCACCAGATGAAATACACAGTCAAGCTTTCTGATGTCAGGGGTGCTCTATTCCAATTCTCAGATTTAAAATTATCCAGTATCCACTTTAAGTTAAAAGCCAAACCTTGACTGTAACCAGTTGCAACAGTGTTTATGTCACTGTTTGAAATAAGCTTCTTTAAGAAAAGTACACTGCTCAGATTTGCCTATTTGCTTGGATTTATGTAGTACTAGCTGGTGACAGCTGGACACAGCTGACACAAAGACACATTTAATCACCTTGTTGTTTTTTTTTTTTTTTCTGGTGAGATTATGTTACAAATTCTATAGGCCACATACTTATTTGCCTAATACTGGGAAGGTCTAAAACACTAGATTCAAAAACCCCACAGTCTATCCGGCTCACATATACTCATTGGGCTTAGAAATACTTTTTAAAAAATCATTGTTTTCTTTGTATATTAAAAAATCATAATACTTATTTTTATATACACATATACACACATACAAAAGTGTTAAATGCAGACATATATACACATACTAACAATGTTAGATGCAGACACACAAAATTTAAAAACCAAAAACACATAGATATACACTGAAATTCAGCACCGAAGCAAGCCTGCCCTTTCCACATCAGATACTATCCTAATGTACAAAATATACACAGTTGGTGGTACCCAAAGCGCTCACAGTACTGCACTGTATTTATTCAATGCGCTGTTCATTTTTATTCAATACGGTGACATAAGACCCCGTACAAAAGATCAGTGAACATAGGAAGATGCACGTATTTGCTGAACTTTTCACAACTGCAACCATCGCTTGTCTTCTTGTTGCTTTAAATATAGATATTTTCTCAATTACATTATTTATTCATGGTTCTGACTGCAAAAACCAGGTGGATTCTTTTTTTCTGAAGACAGCGTCTTGCTTTTTCTCCCAGGCTGGAGTGCAGTGGCACAATCATAGCTCACAGCAGTCTCCACCTCCGAGGCTCGAGCCATCCTCTCACCCCCGCTTCTGAAGTAGCTGGGGCCATATGTGCATACCATGCCTGGATGTTTTTTTAATCTTTTAATTTTTTTTGTAGAGACTGGGGATCTAACTATATTGTCCAGGCTGGTCTCGAACTCATGGCCTCAAGAAATTCTCTCACTTTTGCCTCTTAAAGTGCTGGGATTACAGGTGCTAACCACTGTGCCGGCCTGGAATTGCACTTTATTTGCATACCAACATTAATAATGATCACAAACAAATCCCCTCTCTACCATCACCTACACCCAAATCCCCTCTTTACCCTCGTCTGTATTTCCAAATACCTACTCACAGCAATGTTAGTTTCGTGTCAGTCAACAGAATATTTCTGTAAAGGACCAGGGGCATGAACGTATTTCAGGCATTATGGATCACATGGCCTTTGCTGGAAACTGTTCAACTTTGCAGGTGTATTTGGCAAGTGAATGGTAGTTGTGCTCTAATAACACTTTATGGACACTGAGATTTTAATTTTATGTAATCTTCCTGTGTCACATAATATTGACTTTTTGATTTTTTTGTTTTCATTCACTTAACAATGTCAAAGCCATTCTTAGCTGATGGGCCAGATTTGGTCTGCAGGTAATAGTTTGCTGACCCCTGCTTAGCATATAGGAGGCAATTTGTAAAAACACTGAGCTGGAAGATAATTAGATAGTGCATAGCAGCCTAGTGTAATTAAAGTTTCAAAAAATGCGTAAGTTTCACAGAAATTCATTTTATTTTTTTGAGACACAGTTTCTGTCTGTAGCACAGGCTGGAGTGCAGTGGCACAATCTCAGCTCACTGCAACCTTCACCTTCCGGGTTCAAGTGATTCTCTTGCCTCAGCCTCCCGAGTAGCTGGGATTACAGGCACACACCACCACACTGGGCTAATTTTTGTATATTTAGTAGAGATGGGTTTTCTCCATGTTGGCCGGGCTGGTCTCAAACTCCTGACCTCAGGTTATCCCCCCGCCTCAGCCTCCCAAAGTGCTGGGATTACAGGTATGAGCCATCACCCCCAACCCTACACAGATTCCTTTTATAGAGAAGAAAGAGTGAGGGCTTTTTATCAGTTACACAATTGATTTTCCATGATGAAGCCATTCAAATGAATTGTACCCCAAAGTCGATTTTTATACACAAATTTCCTGATCTGACCTTTGAGTTAAACACATGCTTAAGACCTTTCATTGCCTGTTTGGGAAGGGGGGTTGTGCTTGATTTGGCCTTGCCAGTTAGACAAATCCTCACTTCTTGCTTTTGTCGTTTATTTGGAAAAGGGGGTTGTTCTACATGAAACCTGGCCTTAGAACTGTGTGTTATTCTGGTGCTGCCTACAGGGCTGGGAGCTAATCTTAGAGCTCTCATTTGACCCAAAGTTGTTGCTATAAACACAACTCTTTCTTCATTCCAAAGCACGTGATTTAAAGAAAAATGATTACTATACAAATTAGTAGGTGAAAGTGTGAACTTCCTAACAATTTGATGTTTCAGTTAAGATTTTAGAGGAAAATAATTCAACTGAATGGCTTTCATCATACCCCTTACAGACAGATGCCCAAAGCCTGAGGTCCTTCTCCCCAGAAACAGTTAATGTGTCACCTGAACTGGCTCGTGAGTATTTTGCAGAACAATGCACGTACTGGGTTTGGGATGGGGAGATTTGACTGGATTACTGAGTGGGCCCAATGTAAAGAAGAAGATCCTTCAAGTGGAAGAGAGAGGCGGGACCAGAGGGTCCCAGGAAGAGAAGCCCGTGGACAAAGATCAGAGTGATGCATTGAGGGCTCCACCCTCCTGCCTGACAAGAAAGCGGCTGATGTCTTTAGAATTGGAAATGGCAAAGAAACGGCTTTTCCCACAGTCTCCAGACAGGAACGCAGCCCAGCTTGATTTTAGAGGGCAGATTTCTAATCTGTTTATTGAGGATAATAAACATGTGTTGGTTTAATCCATTGTGTTTGTGTGAATTTGTTATGGCTACAATAGAAAGCAAGCAAATCTCTTGATGCATACATTAAATATGTATAGCTTTTATATGTCAACCATACCTCCTCCGTAAAGTGGCTTAAAACAAACCAGAAATACAGCCTTTTAATCCCTATATCCCATTTTTCATTCTAGAACGATCCTGAAGAAAAAGGCAGAAAAAGAAATATACTAGAATGTGACAGCATTCTTATCTATCCATAATCTTAGCGAATCTATGCAGTTTAAACCCCCTCAATAATGGCCCGCGACGGAAGGTCTACCGCTGTTGGAGTGAGGTTTCCTGGAAGTTCCCACCATTGATAGCCATGCTTCTTTTAAGTCTGCTGGATTTGCTTTTCTAATAAACAGATAGTTTGGAAAATGAAAGGGAGAGATTATGTGGCCAATGGTGGAAAACTGGCATGAACAGGGA